CAAGTCGATCGGGAACCAATGTATAGAGGCACTAGGAAAAGATAGGCTTAAGTATCAGATCAAGCTAAACGACAAGTCTGTCTCGAAAGCGAAGAGCTTATACATCACGTAGCTTTTGTTCGACAAGCCACAGTTGGAGTTTCCCAGTTGTTAAGTCCTAATGGCCAAACTACTAACAATGGTGATGCTGCAGAGCTTCTGACTGAACAGTGCCTTCACACACAACCTGCATTAACGAGAGCCTCACTTTAAACCGGTGAGGGATCAGAGAAGTGGACTTTTGCACTGGTCTGGTTAATTAAATGCTGCATCATCGAACCGAGGACACTTTTCAACATGGTTTGCTCTGCACATCTGAAAAAAGCGTCTCCAATCTTGTGACGCTTTTACATTCACGGAACGGAGGAATGATCCTAAACGAATGAAAGCTGGTGCACATTACACTAGTTCTCAGTGCGGACCGAAGAAAGAAAGCCTTGAACTACCGGCCGGTGGCACTTTTTTTTACTAAAAAAAAGTTGTGATGTCCTTGCTATATGTCAATCTATGCGACTATTTATATTCAGGTAACTCTTATTTCCTCCCAGCAACACGCTATCATGGTGGGATACTCCGGCACAAACAGTCAGTTGACACCACTGGACTGATGGGCAACCATTCTTTATTGCCAAGCGATGGTTGATGTGGTATACCTTGACTACTCAAAAACTATTGATAAGATCAACCATATTTGTCCCATCAGTGAGCTCAGAAGGTTTGGTATAAAGCCTGCTTATATAGAATGGTTAACTTCATAGATTAATAACTGACTCTAAGTTTAGAGTGAACTTTAATTCTTCTTAGGCTACGGAATATCTTCAGTACCAAGATCCCCTCTCTTTTTGATTTAAATAAATGACCTAATTCAACGAGCATCGACCAAGTTGTTACATTATGTATATAAATGGATTTTCTACTCTAGCAGTTCACTCCGGCTCCAACAGGTGCAGGTTGATACGCGTTCGCCCAGATCAGGAACAAAAGCACGATAATTCTGGGAGAAAACGGTCCTTATTTATTAAACATGGAAATACAGACAATTACTAAAACAATATTACACCTTCTAGATCACAAGTCCCACAATGGGTATCCGTTTCTGGAAGAATAAGTGCTTCCAGTCCGTTACTGCTACGGTATCAAATCCAAGTATAGCTGTAGCCATATTAAATATCAAATTTAAACAACATATGTACAGTTCAGAAGGAAACATAGAAACTTCAATATAAGTACAAGATATAGAAATAATAACAATATACAATGATAAAGTCTCAAAATGGAATCAAATAAAGTACCAAAATGTCAACAGAAAGAGTCAGTCATATCATAACACAAATATATATACATGGAGGGATTTTCCAAAAACAAAACATTCAAAATAGATTCTACAATGTAGGCGATGTTAAACTTTGGAGAGGTTTGCGACCAAGTTGGACATCTGGATATTCAGGAGGATTTGACTCAACTTCAAAGTTAGGAGAATGATCGCGTAATAGATTTGAACACTTAAAAGTGTAAGGTATTTCACCTTACATACGCTGCAGACCATATATAAAATCTGATAAACTCTTCTCTAGCAGAATCTCAAGTTGCAACGTGTCCAGAAGTTTTGGTACTCTATGATCTAATGTCTTTAAAGTGCCTTTCGACTAAACGTTGTACTGAGATGGTGGAGACAATTTGTGGCTCGAGCGGATAATAATAATAATAATAATTATTTATTCTCAAATAACAGACATGTTACAAGAGACATGCCAATTTACAGGCAAGATCAAAATGTTAAGATTAGCAACATATTTCTTTTAAAACGGTATACAGTTACTGAAACATTTCACAAGATTCATTGTTCTCTTGAAGATGGAATGTACAATGCGAATAATTGGCGCAAGTTACGAAGGTTGCGTTACGACAATCATCTTATGGACTGAGAAACGATTCATGGTAGAGATAGGTTTTCATATAACAAGAATTGATGCGGTAAATGTACAAAGGTCTGGTTGATATTCATCAGCTAATGATTTCACATGTTCTTGGGTAGGGTAACTAAGTCTACTGCAAATATCCAGACTAATATATGAGGATTGGAATAAGGTTCTGAAAAAAGAGGAATAAAGAAAACGGGACGAGGAGCGGAACAGAAAATATTCGTGTTCAAAGCCGAACAACGGCTTCGTACATATGTTTATGGACAAAACAAAGGTATGTTTACTCAGACTTTTTTAACAAAAACTAAACACCTGCACTTATGTAGGTTAATGAAGACAATTCACTAGTGAGATAACTAATGGGAAGTTAGTCAAATGAATAGAGGAAATTCAAAAGAACCAAGTTGTTAGTAATAATGTTGATTTACAAAATATAATAAAGAGGATCAGTGATATAATTTTTTGTTTTATTTATTCTTTTTATTTTTAACTCTGAGGCTCAAGAAGTTATGAATGAGCTCTTTTTTTAGTATAGTTGTCCAGCTTGTAGTAGGATTTCTCGGTAGGAAGTAAAAACCAGTGCAAGGTTACAGACATGGGTTGTAGAAAAGGTTAACGAGGAAAAATAACATCAATATCACTGATTTGTTACATCCTGCTATATCGTAAGGAGCCGTAAGCAAACAAAATGTTCTGCCACACAGACATGGGTAGATTGAGGTTATCGCCCCACCGTCATGAATGCTGGTCAGATACACCACCCTCCCTCCTTTTGTGATGTTGGGCTCTCTTACGTGTAATGGTTGATTATAAATAATGGATGATTGTTGTGGCGTTTTGTTCTCTTAGCTCAGCACGTCAACATACGTTTTACTGGTACCTCACTCTTTCACAGCTTTATTCGGCCATATTTTGGGTATGGAATTATGGTGTTTCCTCTGTCCTTCGCAAGGGACAGGAATACACGAACGTATCCAAAGGTGAGCCACAAAATCAGTTCAAGGGCATGAATTAAAACCTTGAGGACAGCGCCTCGAGCCATGGGATCATTACTTGTTAGAGTATTGACGTATCAGAGGTGTTCTTTTCATGACTCAGAGTGTCCCAAACACCCATGGGCATCCACCAAAACCCTTGCTTTTGATCAATCACAACACAAACCTTGGGAAAAATACACAAAATCTAGGGACTAAGTGGTATTAAACTATGCTTTACTAATAATTCACTTCTGCCGGTAAAATATATGTGGAGATCCACATTTTATCCACTGCTACTAAATGCAGAGTCCTGATATGAAAAAGCTTTTTCTATATGTTCCACAAACTTTTGGACCTAATCAAATCATAATCCGGCTCTCGCAGATCTGGCCAACTCTGTTTGAACAACTTGTTTCAAAATCCAACAGCGGCCGTTGTTGCACCAGTTGCTGAGAAACACTTCTCAGTGCCACTATTGCAACGTACGAGGACTAAGGGGTAAGCTGTTAGAAATCAGGAATATGTGCTTCCAGATGGATCTGAAGATCATAATTCTGAATGAGATCCTCCTACGTGCCCCGTGGGTACAGGGGTGATGGAGGCTGGCAGGAGATGATCACTGGCAAACAGTGAGACACATCATCCAAATTTCTGTCTTAGACAATGTACCTCAATCACACCACACACCTGGGAATAGAAGAACATCGGTTATGCGCGGCACTGAACTCTTGCTATAGGCGAAGAGGAGAGCCTGGCACGAGTAGAGGGTCTTTTTGAAGGATTCTGATCTCAATTCTTACTTGAAGTTAAGAAACAGATGCAATAGCAAAGTTCAAAGTGATAGGAGACGCTTTCAGATGAAGCTAGCTGCCAAAATACAGGCAAACCCAAAGCATCTGTAAAGGTTCATGTCTTAAAGAAAACCTACGAACCTGAGGTTGAGTTCTCTCGAAGGACCGGATGCGGAAGACCTTATCAGCCTAGAGATGGCTGAGATATTCAACACAAACTCCATCGATCAGTTAAACCAGGCATCCAAATGTTCAGAATACTACGCTTACTCAGCTGATGGCTTAGGGAATATCCGCATCACTCCTGACTTAGCACTAAAAGGCTTACATCAGGGAAAGTCACCAGGTTGTGACAGTATTCGCACCATAGTCTTGAGACAATGTTCAGAAGTCCTCTGTTCATCGATATGTTACCTGTTCAGGCATTCACTAGATTCACACCAACTCCCATCTGAATGGAAACAAGCTACTCTCTCTCCAATCTCCAAGGGAGGAGATAGAAAGCACTCAGCCTGTTACGGACCAGTCGCATTACTTCATTTACAATCACAAGTAATTGCAGGGCTGGTGGACGAACGAATGAGGGAGTACATGGATAAGAATAAAATACCCCTTGAAGCTCAACACGGCTCTAACAAGAGACGTGATAAGCAAGTACTCAGGTACGGTCTATCATTTCCCTCTTGGACAAGCTGTTCATGATTCATATCTTGAAACCTGCTCGTTGTTATCATTGCTATCACCTCAGATTACTCAACTATTCTATCTCGTCTACTATCACTGTTTTCTCTCTTGCCTACACTTCAGGCCTCTCCCACAATCTTCATTACTAATCAATAAACTAAATTCACTTACATATAATTTAGTTCTGAAATCCTGTTATTAACATTAGAATTTTCTCTTTATGATTCCTCACGTTGCCAATAATTGATCTTCGCTCTGGTAATGTGATAGCTGCTGATATCCAGAAACCGTACTGCCCTGAAACAAACATTTTCATTCAAATCATGGGACATACAAATTCACATCGAACTGACAAGTGACTAGAATTAGACAGTCAAGTGGCTAGACCTCCATTCATTGGACACAAACGAACACCTGAAACCGTACCGAAAGAAGAAGAATCGAGCGGAAAGAAATCAATTGGTTTATTATAGTTTGCGAAAAAGATATTGGATATTGAATGATATCCGAATTTTTGAGTGCAAAGTCCAACCTTTCTTTTCACAAGGTCACTCCATCCGTCAAGTTATTGTAGCTGACAGTCTTTTATGATTTCTCTTTCTGTCCTGTTGGCACTTTTAGTCGGTGGGAGCGATGACCATTTTCCTCACATTGAACACTTTGAAGGTGCCCTGGATGAAGCACCTCTAGAGCGTCTACTTCCTGCGTTGGTAAAATTTTATAATCAGTATTCGAGCCAGCCATACAGATATGTGGCTTTTGATGCAAACCAGACACTGAAAACTGTATTCATAAGTTTTTTGTCTAATTAGCTTCACAGAACTTAAGGGGCTATAAGTACCATTTCTCCGTTCTACTGGCCCCCACTACTTGCCCTAAAAGCCATGTTGATCACATATCTATTGCAAACTTGGGACCTTGCTTGTTGAAAGAATATGGGGTATGTCTAAAATAAATGGATTCTCTGACAAAATTTAGTTTCGACAATGCAATTTCTTTCTGAGCTACCAAAAGGGCTTAGTATATGACGACAGTAAGTTGTATTTTGAAGGATGTCGACGTGCTGTCCCAAGAATACCTAAAAACCTACAGGTAATTATTTGTTAAAGCGATATTACTCTGAAATTTGAATGTATATCTCATTATTTACATAATCGCGGAAGCACTAAAATTCCCAAACGATATGTCATTTCAAGAATACAGCTCAATTCACTATATTCTCGCAAGCGTTTTTGTCATAAATCCAATAACTTGTTGTAGACCTTATGTTTATGTAATCCGTTTTCTTGAATGATAGCAGGTTGGTAGTTATATTAGTGGTTTGCCTCAAAAGAACCGAACTATTATTTATCTCACATGGTGATAATGTGAATATCTATGATATATGAGTTACAAATTTCATAATAAATCCAACGTCTATGTTAGACATTGACAAGCAGCACTTCACAAGCTGGAAGATCTCTCACTCCTTGCTCTAATGCGGCAGACGTGTATCAAGCAAAGAAAGCAGCTGCTATCTTATGGTAATCAGAGGCGGAGAATCGGCTTTAGGTTTCAGATTAACAAAATCGTTGACCACTCCATAAATACTATTGACGCTGCGTTCGTTTCCTTCATTAGCTGTCCGTTCATCTTTCAAGTGAAGTGTTATATTCTCAAACAGTTAGATGGAATACTTCATGATGCCTAGATAACTTGCAGACTAAATAGTAAGTTTCGGTAAATATTGGGCAGTAACTTATTAGCTAAATAATCTAAAACGCAACTGTCTTTAATCACTTTTCTAACTTCAGTTCGGACAGCTGAACGGCTTCACTGGCCCTCACAAAACGTCTCACTCAACTCTGAATACATAAAAATTATGTCAACAGTATAATCAGTGACTTTCATTTGCCTTACAATACCAACTTTTCATTTTGCTGAAAAAAGTATTTGTATCAAATTTTTCTACATAATAGTAATGCCAACGTTAACAAACCAACATATAATCCAACAGCTCATTCTGATAATCTAATCTAATGAAATACAATTCCATAGCATACTGTATGTGTTTGTAGATATTTACTTCATAGTAATCATAACTTATCAAATATATGACAATGATTTGTTTCTTGGATTTCTTATCATTGTGGATAGTTCAACCAAACCAATCAGTTGGGTTGTCGTCCTTAGCATCGTTTTCAATATAAAAACATGTTCCATATGTCCGACCGTCAAGATATCACGATAATAACTTCTGAAAAAGCTTAAGAAATTAGACCTAAAAAGTGGTCGAACCGAAATAGCATCAAGTCACGTAGCTATTGGTTAGTATTATCAGAATTGAACTGATAAAAAAGTGTGACAAGGACGCTAAGTTCGTCATAACGTTTCTTTTTTTTCCTGTTGGCTGGTGCCTGGGTTGATGTAAATTTAATCCTTATTGCCTTTCTTTCTTTACATTTCAGTACTTAGGCTTTAAGCTGCCTGAAAATGTGGATGAGATGTATGCACAGTTTAAGTTAACGTATAGAAAACAGTATCATGAGACAGGTAGTTTCATCTAACTAACTAGCTTACATCTTTCTCTTTAGAAGATGAAATTAGGTTTGATATCTTCAAATCTAATCTCTTAACAGCTCAATTGTATCAGGTACTTGAAAGAGGTTCAGCTGTTTATGGAGTGACACCTTACTCAGATTTAACAAGTTAGTAAACATTTGATAACGATTGTGACTATCATCAGGTGATGAATTCGCACGCACTCATCTAACAGCTTCTTGGGGAGGGTCGTCTGGTAAAAGTAATACACTGATTTCGCTGAGCGAAATGGATGAGAATATACCAAAAAACTTCGATTGGCGAGAAAAAGGTGCTGTAACTGAAGTAAAGAATCAAGGAATGTGTGGTTCTTGTTGGGCCTTTTCAACCACTGGTAATGTTGAAAGTCAATGGTTCCGAAAAACTGGAAAACTTTTATCACTTAGTGAGCAGGTCAGTTTATTTTCCACTCACTACAGTGCGATTTTAAATTAGATAATGCATCGAGTGAAATTCTAATTTCATCTCTCTTACTTTTACTTGCTCAGCGGTTACTTAATTATGCATAATGCGAACAGTGTCAATCAGTCAAAAACACAAAGTTGTACTCAGTAAATAAGTCACGTTGAGTTTTTAAAAACAGTAAAGTGCCGTTCAGTTAGAAAAAAACTCACTGTTTGCCGTAACGAATAAGTACATTTACACATAGTTGCAGTATAATCCCCTTAAAGTTGTAAGCAGTTGTCTCAAACGTATCCTAATCTTGAGGTTACAAATTTATGTAAGTCAAATCTGTATTAGTGTATTGAATTCAGTAAAAGAGGCTTGGGCAACCTGGCACTATTCCAGCTTATACATAAGTTCAATGTTTTATGTGGCGCATCAGTATTTAAATGTATTTAAATAAATAAGACATGAAAATAGATAATAAAATAAAAACCACTAAATAAGCCATTTTATATATAATCCAATTTGTATAGACCTGAAAGTGGGTTGATTTGTAGTTCAAGTCATCATACACTGTTACAATACTGTTTGAGTATTCTGTTAAAGCCTGATTAGGTATGAAGCCTAACAAAGTATGTTTCAAAAACAGTAACGGCACACTCTAAACCTGTCTTGTAAATCATAACCATTTATGTTATCTCCCATGTTTAAACTGTCTAATAAACCTCCAACTCTTGTTATATACTTAATCCTAGTAAGTTAAGTATAAGGCTGAGAGAATGGCGAACCTGAAAGTTGAATCTAGTTAGTTTGTTAGTTAGCAGCAACGTAGAACTGCGTACGTACATCAGTTCCAGTTGCCATACCACCTGAGCGCACAGACATCGAATGTTCAACTCAAATCCCATAATAGTATATGTAGAATAAGTATTAGCGGTAATCGAAAAGAATGGGGGTCGAAGATATTATTCAAGAAGTTTAATCTAGTGAAATAAATTTATAAAGCTTAAGATGAAGATGATGAGGAATTCAGAATATTAGAATTTGAGAGGAGACAAAGAATGGATGCACCTGCGTCATTGCAAACGATCTTGAACCATGACATTCAAGGTCTCTAACCATCGGTTACTATCATCTCGCGGATCCTAACCTGCTAGTCTACTTACATGGCCCAGTCGAGTAGTCAGTGACTTCATGAATTTGTGCCATCTTTTGGTTTGGCCGCCCCTAACTTTCTTCCAACCTACCCTTACACCACAAAACATAGTTCAACGAGGCAGTTGGTGGTTGTGCATACAGAACACATGTCCCAACCACCTCAACTGGTGAGTTTTCAATACTTCATCTATTGATCTGCCATCCTTACTTAGTACTACTCGCTTGCTAATGTCAGCATTGCTTACTCGACTAAGAATATATTCCAGGAACATCCAGAAAGAGAGTTAGGGAACCATGTAAGTGATTCGCATCAGGAGGCAGCTTGGAATGATATTAAAAAGGCTGTGGAAACAGCAGTGATATCTGCTAGTAAGGTAAACCATAAGGCTAGAGTGAAGGTGTCGATCTCAGTAGCATCCACTGAACTTATAGAGGCTCTAAAACTCATCTACTCCATTCTTGTTTAATTTTATCATAGATATGCTCTTAGAAATAACCTCGTCTGAATTCCCAGGAGTAGACCTTTTACCAGGAGGCTCGCTTATGAACTTAGAATATACCAACTACATAGTCCTATTTAGTGAAGACGCTGACAAAATGCAGTCGTCTGACCACCGTAAGCAACAATGCAAGCATGTTCGGGATGCGGTTCTCCCGGTCGAAATGCAAAATGTTGCTTCAAGACTGGGTTGCATCGGCACCTAAACTAGTGATAGGGAGTGAAGTAGGCGAGCGTGTTGACCGCATCACTTATCTTGGGAGTCTCAACAGTGCTGATGGCCTGGTGACTGACGAAACCTCAGCTCGGATACAGAAGACTCGATTGGCTTTTGCCAACCTGAGTCACTTATGGCGCAGGAGAGATACACGCTTGCAAACTAAAGGACGAGTGTACTGCGCTGATGTGGTATGGCAACCTGAACTGATCTACTTATGTACGAAGTTCTGCGTTGTATCTGTCTGTCTGTCTTACTCAGTTGTCACAGGATATACGAGCAATATTTGGAAGACACCTGTAATCGAATACGAGTAACCTACGAATATCCTCAACTCTTACCGGCCATATTTCGCATCCATATAGTAGAATAGAGCGAACTGCTGCGTAGTACACTCGTCCTTTGTTTATCGCTTGCGCCATAAGTGACGCAGCCAATCAAACCTTCTGTATCCGAGCTGAGATTTCGTCAGTCACCAGGCCATCAGCACTAATGAGACTCCCCAGATAAGTGAAGCGGTCTACACGCTCGACTACTTCAAATGGCCTTACCGCCAGAGACGGAAATCCGCGAGGTAAAGTGAGGTGTAACATTTTAGGGTCGACCTTTTCTGACTCCTTCTTTCCGCTCTGAGAAGGTAGCATCGCTGTAAGTGCTGGTTGTCTAAAGGAAACACACTGCTGTCACACCCCTCTACAGTGAGCAGTATGACTTCGCCCTCAAACATTGAGTTGCTGCTTTTAGTCTCATCGTTCTTCAAAAGACCTGCCTGGCATGATAGAACCTTCAAAAACATGTGTTCCAGCCAACATAACTCGATTGGTTCATCACGATAGGCAAGCCCGAACACCACGTCAAAGCAGCTGCTGCGGTCAGAGAAAGTTAGACTTTGACATTTAAGTTCAGAGTTTTGGTGGCTTGACTACAATAAGGTTTCAGTAGGTGAAACGTTGGCAAATAATGTGTATACTGATGGAGAAACATCCTGGACAATTCGTGATTTTAGAGACGTCGCAGTATCAATAATGCTCATATAATTGTAGTTGACGGTCTAGTACACATACTTGCATTTGTCTAACCAGTGATTTACAGAATGCTTGTTTTTATCACTAAATCAATGCGCATTAAAACTTTTGTGAGTCATCACCAATAAATACAATAAAATTGGATCAGATTCAATCTTATTAAAGTGTATATTCAAATTTTATGACTGTATTTGTCTGGTTAATTACAATATCCCACTCTTAATTACAGCAACTTGTTGACTGTGACGGTCTAGATGATGGTTGTAATGGAGGTTTGCCATCAAATGCTTATGAATCAATCATAAAAATGGGTGGTTTAATGCTTGAAGATAATTATCCTTATGATGCGAAAGATGAAAAATGTCATTTAAAAGTTGATAATGTTGCAGTGTACATAAATAGTTCAGTAAATTTAACTCAGAATGAAACGGAACTTGCTGCTTGGCTGTATCATAATTCAGCAATTAGCGTTGGTATGAATGCAATGCTTTTACAGGTATAGTTTCTAAATTGTATTTTAATTTGCTTTATGTATTCATTAGGTTTTCATCAACATTTTATTAAAAGTAGGATTTATTAATGTAAAAATAGTTTTATGTTGATTTGTGTTGACTTTACTTGAATTTGGTTAAGTAATAAGGTTTTTATGAATTGTTGTTCATAACTTTGTTAATTAGTTCATATTTTATGAATAACTCATCGGGAAGTTTTACTGATAATTTCGAATAGTCCTAACAATTGTGAAGCCCTTGAAAGTGAATGTAAACATTGATTTTACTAATATATACAACCTTACTTTAAAATTTTACAATATATTTATTTACATATGGTCTGGTGTTAAACGCTACTTATTCATATCCGTTTTATATTACATGCATACTGACAATTAGTGGGACATTATCAGGTTTTGAAACATCTTTGTCTAGATAATGGTTTTAGAAATACCATAAAAATATATCATAGGAATGAAATGATGATGTGACGAAATTTCAAATCCCATTAATCTTCACTGATTTTAAACAATGTAGACTATTATGATATATTTTTATTTTTATTTGGGGTATTTTCATTAAGAACTAACATCCCATATGATAGAAAATACTTAAATTAGAAATAGACATTTTTAAACCGTTCAGTTGATATATATAGTATGGTTAGTATTGTTAAACTTTCTATTTTGTCAATTGATTTAGTCAACATGGTGGCAATCGTATTTGTCACTGATTCTTTTGTTATCAGTACAATTTCGTTCTCATTATCGCACTGATCCACTCGGTCATATCACCCTACCATAAAGTCGAGTGATATACTGCTTTCAATGGTTACTAAAGGCGACTATATTTTTATAGAATCTGTGTATAATGGCAAACATTCTTCTCAATAGTTGTGTAACATAAATGTAAATACTGTCACATTGTCATCATCTAGTACAGAATTCGGTAAGTGCTTGTGAAACAACTATAATTTGTTGTTAAAATTTTACTGAAGTACAATAAGAAAGCTAATTTAACTTGGATATCTGTAATATTCTATAGCCTTAACCATTACATTTTACAATGAATTTAAGTTAACTCATTTACCAAATACAAAATACTTATCTACCGAATTACTAGTGTACCATGATTTTCAACTTTTAGTAAGTTTCAACAACTACACTACAATTATTGTAAATGAATTTAAGAATTTTGAATTTTATCACACTTCTTTTGATCCATTACATCTCAAAATTTAGTTTTATCGTCATGGAATTAGTCATCCGTGGTGGATTTTCTGTCCGAAGTTTATGCTTGATCATGCTGTTTTACTTGTTGGTTACGGAGTTTCCGAAGAAAATGAACCATTCTGGATTGTAAAGAATAGCTGGGGCAGTGAATGGGGTGAAAATGTAAGTTTGTCCATTTAACCTAACTGTTAATAGAGAAGAGGTCTTATGTTATATAAATAATTACATTAATTCAATATTGATTCATATTATCCAAAACACTTTCTCAATCCTAGGTAGATTCATTACATCAAATAATGTAATAACCGCTTTTTTTTGTCATCACGTCGAAGGAACACTGTTGTATTATCCTATTAAAAATGGCAAGCAGACTGGACTCAATATATGGAGTTTTTGAAAAGTAATCTCTCTCTTTATCATGTGTTTACTATAGGCAAGAAAACTTACGTCATTTTAGTACAGAATAATTCCATTGAATCATACTTCGTGAATAATATCTTCTAATTGTAACCCCTCCGATTACTTCTAATACCTTTACTACCTCTTCTACTATTGGATTTGAATTGACAATTATATCTCTGTGCTGATGTGGTATGGCGACATGAACTGATGTACTTACGTACGAAGTTCTACGTTGCAACTGACTGACTGACTGACTGACAGAATAATTCAATAGTGATTGCATTCAGCTAAACACTTAATTGTTTCGTTAAAATATTAAAATTCAACACATAAATTATGTATTGTTTGACATTTCTACAATTATGTTAATTCATCAACGAGGAGGACTAAAGTTGCAATAAAAACCTTCTTTTTGAATTTGAAAACCAAACATTACAGACTTATGCTTCAGCTTGATATATTGGGATTCTGTTGGAATACATATTTAAAGCGCAGTTTTTAACTGTTTATTATTTTCCACTGTTTGTTTTTTTTGAAGCATAGAAACACTTACACATCAATAAGAAATTTGTTTCTTATTAGTTTAATCTGAATGATGACTTAACAATTGAAGTGTTTACTCATTTCACCTAATCTTCAAGTTGTCCACATAAGGAGTTCTAGCGTAGCTACCTGAAACTACCAGATGATGATGATGATGATGTCAACTAATTTCACATGAAATGTATGACTCAAATCAAAGAAGATAAAACTATACTTAATTAATGATTTACAGTAATATGCATAATTTATATTTAAGTTAAGCATTATTAATAATAATAACTGACTGACTACCATTGAATGAATTTTGAAAATATATATGGAAATTTTGCTGAATTTGCTTAGAAATTCTTTTATATGCACATTTTTTCATATGTCTGCTTTTATTTATTTTTATTTAACAGGGTTATTTCCGTATGTATCGAGGTGATGGAACTTGTGGCATTAATACAGTTGCTACATCAGCACTGATCTACTAGAAAATATGTTTGTTTATTTTTTTCTTTTTTTCATGCCAAGCCAATTCATCTTATTCTGGACAGAATCTCATTTTAATCTGATGTTATTTTGTCAAAGACAATTTTTTTTCAGATTTGGTTTTTTTTTGTTTTTAAAGCCTCACCCCTCTCATCTCATTGCGTTAAGTTTTTTTCTTTGTTCAACTCCACTACAAACCCCTGTGACATATGCCTACGGCAATTTTTTCATTTTAATTGGGGTGTAGGAGAGAGAAAAATATCTCTTGGACAAGTGTCTTTCTAAATTCAATAAAATCTCATAGACATTTTGTATTTTGTTATTTTTTAACAAATTATGCTCAATGTTTTTAGGCCGTGATTTTCATAATAAAACATTTCAACAAGTATATCAATGGTTTTTTTTTTCTTATTGTAGAGATAAGAATAACTGTTTAACAAATGTTATTTCTTGTGCTCAGTAGGTTTGCCTAATAACAACAGGTTTTTTTTTAAAATTTTTTTAATACATTTAAAGAAATCGTGATTGTACACTTCTGATGAATAATCCATATGTATATATGTTAGTGGCTAATTTTCTAAAGCTTACTGTTTTCATGCACAAAATGAACTGTAGTCTAAGCACCGTTGATGATCTCTAACTAAGTATGAAATTCTAATTTATAAAATGAATTTCAAGTGATAAAATGGATAAAATCTATAAAATTGCGTCTTAATAATTCCAGTGTAATTTGTTTTCATATGCATAAAGTTTTTAAGGATAAATAATTTAGATTATTCTTTTACTGTTAGCTTATTGACATGCTAATCAGTTAGGGTTTAATTATGCTAAGATTAGAATGGGTTGAAACTTGATATTCATCATCAATTAACTTTGAATAATACTTTTCGTCTTCTCTATGACGATCAGTCGGTCAGATGCAACGTAGAACTTTGTACGTAAGTACATCAGTTCAGGTTGCCATACCACATTAGCACATAGACGCGACCGTCAGTTCAAATCCAAGAGTGATAGAGATAGTAGAAGTATTAGAGAGTAGTGGATAAGATTAGGGAGCGAAGATTTGATTCGAGGAGTATAATTCAGTGAGATAAGGTTAGTAAAAGGTAGAGGTGTTGACGAATTCAGAAGATTAGGATTTCCGACAACACAAAGAATGAATGCGCCTGCGCCATTGCAAACGATTTTGAGCCATGTCATTCAAAGGCTCTAGCCATCGATGACTTTCGTCTCGCGGACCCCAACCAGGTAGCCTATATCTACCAACATGACTCAGTCCACTTGTCAGTGACTTTATGGATCTGTGCCATGTTTTGGTTTGGCCGCCCCTAACTTTCTTCCAACCTATTCCTACACCACAAAACATAACTCATCGAGGCGGTCGGTGATCGGGCGAAACTTTTTATACACTAGTATAGGGAGTACGTTAACGTTTCGTACAACTTTATTCGTTTAGTCATCGGTGGCTGAGTGAGACAACATAATTACTGATGCTTTCTTGAACTAGATTGAGATTTTTAAGGGTTATCTACGTTTGATTTATTCATTTATTGACAGATTTATGAACTGGCTATTTGAGTTCGTTGATTGAACCAATCTATAATCAATCAGTCACAACTATGGCATATATGTACTGGTCTAAGTTGCTACATTTTTGAATGAATGAACTAAAAAAAATTAACAGTTAATTTGTTAAGCATTATGATCGGAATTCAACAATGAGTAATAAATTTCACTAGGAACAACTAAGATGAGAGAACGTAGAGTTAACAAGAAAATTGAAAATTTTTATGAGAATGAGAGTGAATGCAGTTGCATCCTTTAAAATGAGGATGAGCTGTGTTATTCGACTGTTTTAGAGTTTGAGAAAAGCTCAACTACATATTTGATAAGATCTTGATTATTTGTAACTGCTGTCAGTGAAAAACAATATCAATGCTGGCTAATGATCGTTGGAAGTTTAGTGATATGATATGGTTAACTAGAACCACGATGTAAGTCATACAGACGAACTTATATGAGCCAAGTTATTTCCATAAGACTTGTTCAAACTAGAGATCCTTATGACAGAAACTGGATGCTTCAGTCGTTACTTAAATAGTACTTTTAAAATTTTTAGAAATCTTAAAAACTTTTGGACATTAAAGATGTTTGTGCATTAGTCACAACTTAATTATCCATGAAATAAATCCGTTCTATCTTGCGTACAGTATTTTATGTACTGTGTTGTACACAATCCTACAATCATATTATTAATTGATAGTAATCAAAATTAAATATGGGCAAGGATACTAGCCAGGCACTCAAACAAAAGTAAATATTTTTTTTAAGGGATCACTTCACAAGCCCTTAAGTTCTGGTCTACGAGGCATTGGAGCAACGTTAGGTGATCAATCTCATGGTGGTCGGTGACCGAAGTAGATTCTCGCTCTCTTTATTCCATGCCGGCCTTGGAGTTTTTAGTGACGATCGAGTCGAGATTGACTATGATTACCATTAAATACTTATTACGAACCCGTCACAGAGAAGATAAATAAATCCATGTTAAAGAATATATTTGCTGGCGATTTCGTGGTATCGAAAGAATACCGAAATCGTGCGAGAAAAGATAGGTGAAATTACATGGACAGCGTAGCCAAAATGGCAGCAACACAAACACTAAGTTTGCGCGTACCGAGTGTTATAAACGAAGAGGTTCAGTAAAACAATCATTGGTACAATTGATGATAATAATGAATGTTTCTATCAAACCATCCACGTTCTCTTAATAAAAGTGAAGTTACTACAAGCTCATGTTCACGACTGACTTGCAAGCAGCGATTTCCAACTCTCCTAAATGAACCCTATGTATCCACCAGCTTAACGACCGATAGCATCCTGGAAGCACGTCTGATGAAAGTAGGCAATCATAGTAAAGATCGTTTATATGGAGAAAAAACTTATTCTTAAGTACCCAGGCAATAATGTTTTGCTGTGAGATGATACACATACTACGTAACTTCTAAATAGAAAACACAAGACTGACGGAAGTTTGTGTGCTCATTCACTTCTGGTGATGAGCCGTAAGAAGTAGTTGAAAAGTCCATGTGCCTAAGTAGTTATGTAAATGCTGGTATTGATGTGGTTTACGAGATCAATGTGTGTATTCACTAAATCACACTGTTTTCGATACTACATGGGTATACAAGGTGACAGTATTTTCCTACGGTTATATATTTGATCAAATTAGATGTCAATAAAAGAGAAGAGTTAATTCTTTCTAAAATAGTTTCTTTGAACAGCAGAAATCAATTGTCTAATTATTCAGCTGATAGCTCTAACTAGATATATTTAAAGTATTTGAGTCGGTTCTTACCACCAATCCCATCTTGTTTTATTAATTATCAATTTACTCCTAGTTCTTATCCTTTTTGATAAATTACACAATAAATCATTTGTTCTTATTGATTGTCTTATTATTCCTTACTTCAGTAGGTTCGTATCATTTTTATACAAACAACTTAGTGATGCTACTCCCTAGAATATTAAGTAATGTTAACCAATATTTCAGAACATAGAGTCTACTAACGACTTAAATCCTCATCATACCTATTTTTAAATTTCTGTGAGGTTCCAGACTAGGAGAAAATATGTGTTATTAGAATCATCTTTAGCCACTCAATATAATCACTAAAAGTATCTTAGATATTAATTACCAATTACATTTTCAATTATTTGTAAAGGTTGTGTTGAAACTTCCCTTTGTTGTTGTTGAAGATTGCATGTGATCAATCTCTTTTGGAGTATGTGCATCCTGTGCGGATTGCCTTTATATTGCCATTAAGTCGCAAACATTTCTTAGGAAAGTTGCGTAGTTCCTAGTCGTGAAGTATAAAATGTTTTTGACTTAATGGCAGTATAGAGGCAATCTGCATACCATACACACATACGAAAAGAGACTAATCGAACCCAGCCCTCAATATCAATCAACAAAGGGAAGATTCAAACAACTCTTACAAATGAATTAAGGTTCATCCCATTGGATATGTTAGTGTTTATCTGGACTCACTAGTTAAGTAGCCAATACTTCAAGTGTTTGGAGCAGACGAGACTGGTTCCGAGTCTTAATGTGAACATCATCACTGGACCACATACATCCAACTGACGAGTCCCAAGTTAGACGAAACATATATCCTGTACTCTATTGCTACCCACTATTGAACTGATTAAAATCTCGACTACATGTTTAGTTAAGTTAAATCTAAAAACTGAAATTTTTCATTGATCACAATGAAAATAACTAATTTTTTTTAGTATTCATGAAAAACATTTTCTTAACAACTATCTCATGTCTCACTCACTTTTTTTCCTTGAGCTTAACAATCATGCTGATGCACAGACTTGTAAATTTTTTCTACATATTCATGTGATTCATCGAAATGATACTCTAATATACATTTACATTTTTTACATAAAGCTAATTTATTAGTGTAATACGATATTCTTACAGGCTAATAATAATAATAAGTATCATATAAGTATATGTACTTATTAAATAACAAACGAATACACACTTAAATAATATCAATCCTACTGTGACAAATTAAATTGTAACATTCTGAATAGTTTCATATAATCAATGAGTTTAGAAAATGAGTAAATTGAGAATTATATTTTTTTTATAGGTAACAAAATTAAATCATTTAACTAAAATTGCGTTCTCTGAACTCTGCAGTTCAATCATGAAGACTTCATTGACTTTCTGAGCAACATCATCAAAACAAGCTTCAGGTGGAAATGAATTATGATAGTTTTCTATGCGCGACAAACAGATTGGTCGGTAACTTGGATTTCTTTCAATCTATTTATTGATTGCAGATTTACGAAGGTTTGAAACTTATAGTAATTCCTTGAGATTCTGGGTTAACGCCCAATCAGGTTCAAGGTCGAAAAAAGAATCTGCTAATAACTTTAAAAAAAGTTATTCTATTTTAATTTGAAGTATGTGTTGATGTACCGATGT